GTTGCCAATCCAGTTCCGATGACCTGCCTCCTTCCGCCATACCTCTGCTAGCCACTGCTTCCTGTATGTTAGCCTTCCTGTAACTGGTTGGTTAGAGTTGAGAATTTCTGTCTTTCTGATCAGTGACAATTTTCTTACTGGAATATATCCTTTTTAATCTCCTTACCTTGTCTGATATTGCTGTGCCACAGTGGACCCATCGCCCCCCATTTTTTCCTGCTTGCAATGTATATTTCTCCATCATTTCACTTTCTACTTATCTCTGCCTTTGTAGGGCAGCTGATCTCTTCCAGGCAGTGTTTAGGTCTCACTTTTTAATGTCTCCCTTTAATTGGAATAGTCTCACTCACATGTAATGTAACCACTAACATAATGTCAATCACTTATTTCATTTTTTTTCCGTATTTACTGCATCTTTGTTTCATTCCCATTTCTTCTTTCCTGACTTCTTTTATTGGTGCATTCTTTAGTACTCCATTAATTATTATACTGACTTTTTAGCTTTGTGTGTGTGTTGTTGTTTGTATTGTTGTTTTTGTTTGGCTTAATAACTCTAGAAATTGCAATGTTAATTTTTCTGTATTTTTTTTTCTTGAGACAAAGTCTCACTATGTATCTCTGGCTGGCCTGGAAATCACATGGGAGACGAGGCTGGTCTCAAACTCATAGGGATCTGCCTGCCAGATATCCTGGGATTAAATGTATGTGCCACCATGGCTGGTTATGAATTCTTAAATTATTCCAACATGTATGGAGTAATATGGTACAACTTCATATAAGAACCTCAGTAAAATTCCATTTTTATCTTATTACCCTTTATGCGATTTTTGGACCTACCTATGACTTATTTTCATATCTACCTAGGAGAGAAGCCCTGTCTGCTGTCTGCTGTCTGTCTACTGTCTGTCTGCTGTCTGCTGTCTGTCTACTGTCTGTCTGCTGTCTGCTGTCTGTCTGCTGTCTGCTGTCTGTCTGCTGTCTACTGTCTGTCTGCTGTCTGCTGTCTGCTGTCTGTCTGCTGTCTACTGTCTGTCTACTGTCTGCTGTCTGCTGTCTACTGTCTGTCTGCTGTCTGCTGTCTGCTGTCTGCTGTCTACTGTCTGTCTGCTCTGTCTACTGTCTGATGTCTGCTGTCTTTCCTGTCTGAAGTCTTTCCTGTCTGCTGTTTGCTGTCTCTGCTATCTGCTGTTTGTCTGTTGTCTGTTGAGGACCTGCTTCCTGGTTGTATCCTCATGGGATAGAAAGAAAACCATCTTGACGATGCCTGCTTCTTATAAGAGCACCCATCTTGTTCCCACTAAGAGTTTTACCTTCACGACCCATTTACCTCCCAAAGGACCCAACCACAAAGACCATCTCAAAGAGGACTGTGTTCAGCATGAATTTTGGAGGAGATACAAACATTCAGACCACAATAGGAGTGTTTCCTGGGCTTTTGTTTGTTTTTTATCATTGTTTGTTTTTGTTTTGCTTTTAAAAATATTGACTGTAAGGTTCTTTTTAAAAATTCATTAGTTAATTAATTTTAGATGAGTGGGTGTTTGGTCTGCTGTGTGTCTATGTACCATATGTGTCCAGTGCCAGCAGAGGCCAAAAGAGGTTGTGAGATCCCCTGGAACTGAACTTGTGTTTGGTTGGATTGGGAGCTGCTGCCAAGTGTGTGCTTGGAATTAAACCTGGGTCCCCTGAGCAACCAGTGCTCTTGCCCACCGAGCTGTCTCTCCAGTCTCCTTTTACTTTGCTTTTGTTATTGTTTCTTTACCTTTGGTTTCCAGACTTTGGCTATGAAGTTCCTAAATATAGCTGTTTTCCTACATGCAACTTACAGTTTCCTGAGTGTCTTGAATGTGTAGTTTGATACTATTCACCACATTTGGAGAATTTGGGCTGGTGTTTTTTCAAACACCTTTTTCTGCTCAGTTCCATCTTTCCATTCCCCATGGAATTCCATATATGTTAGACCACAGAATTGTCCCATTCACTGAAGTTTTTAATTTTTTTAAAAACTTCCCTTCATCCCTGGCTTACAAATAGACTTTGAGTGTGCATCCCACAATGAGGGATGCTCTCTCAGCCTGGACTCGTGAAGGAGGGCCTAGACCCTCCCCTGGATGACATGACAGGCTCTGGAGATCCACCACAGAGGGCCTCACCCTCCCTGGGGATCGGAGTGGAGATTGGGTGGGGGGCTGGGAGACCTGGTGGGGAGGGATGGGGAGGAGGGGAGGAAGAGGGAGCTGGGATTGACATATGAAACAAACTTGTTTCTAACTTAAATTAAAAAAAAAACTTCCCTTCAGGTTGGATGGTTTCTACCTCCCTTCAAGGTGACCAGTCATATAATCTGAAGTCACTAATCTGATGCTAAGTCATCAACTAGTAAAGTTTTCACCTTACAATTACACTTGCACATAGGGATTTCTGTTTAGTTCTTTTTTTTACATGTTCCGTTTCTATGCTGAGACCCCGTGTTTGCCTATTCATTTTAACTGTCTTTCACTTAGGTCATCATTTGATGATGATATTTGCAGTTCCTACTTGACAGTCCTCATCTAATCATTTCAACATCCAGGTTGTCTTGCTTCTCTCTCCCTCCTTCCTTGACTCCCTCCCTCCCTCCATCCCTCCCTCCATCTCTCTCCCTCCTTTATTGTTTTAGTTTGGGGCATAATTTTCCATCTCTTTGTGTACCTACTATTATTTCACAGTACATTAAATGTGTTAGGAACTCAGGACTCTATCGTAAGTGTAGCATGTAACAAATGCCCTCTTTGCCTGGGAAGTCCCGTCCCTTCTCAGTCTGCCAGGCCCAATCTTGTGCTTTGTTAGGGCAGACCTGTTTTGGATGCGAATTTAGGATTGCCTGGATTATATGATGTCATCGTAAGGTTCTTATTTCTAAAGCAGTGATGGGGAAATCATGTGTATATGTCAATAAAGCACTGTTGGCCAATAGGGAAGCAAGATAGGTGGGACTAGGAATCCAGGAAGTCTCTGGGAGGAGAAACACAGGGAGTCATCATGTAGCCTGCCAAAGAAGTAAGATGTCCATCCGGTAAGAGAAATACTTAGATGGGTTAAATACTTAAGTCAGAACTAGCCAGTAAGAAACAAGCAAGGCCAACAGCTTCATAATTAATACAGCGTCTTGTGTGTTATTTGGGGACTACAATGCGGCAGACCCCAGGCGACTGGTGGGGAGAAACCAAAGCGGCTGGCAAGGAAAAGTCTTCACTCCACAAAGCAGAAACTCTATTCCCAAGAATAGTTCTACTGCAGTGTTAACTGACTCCTAGACTGTAACTGTAATCTGTCTCCAAGGACCATGCACCTCTGGTGTTACCCCTTCCCTCACATCCCTGCAGCCATCAGTTTCTTCTAAGTCTGTAGAAGACTTGCTCTGAGTGAGTGCATCTCAGCCCTTACCAAGTATACACAATGAAGCCCTGCTGGGACTCTGGTGTGTCCCTCTGCACAGATGCCTGCTTGCTTCCTGGAATCAAAAGTCCTTGCCATTTTAGTCAGAACTATGACCTCTGCTTGGCTCCTCCTCCCTGTGTCATGGCAAGAACAGGTCCCTGAGAGAAAGTTGGCGCAGCTTTTCTTCTCTTGGTAGCTGTGGCCTTGTGGTGCCCATTCATTTCCATAAGACAGTGGCTTTGTATGTTTTGTTTAATGTTCTAGTTCATTTCAATGGCAGTATAAGTCAAGCACACTTATCCAGTCAGTGTGGGAAACGGAAGTCTCTATATATATATCTGAAAATCACTTTGAAAAGCACAAATGCTTACATGTGATGCTTGCAGTAAGACTAAACTTCTATTATCTTCTGTGATCTTTAGTGATGGATTTTAAAAGTTTAATACCATAATTCATTTACCTCTTGTCATATCACACATGAGAGCCAGCACCAAGTCACAGAAGCCTGAGTCACTAGGAACCCATCCATACCTAGGGCTCAGGCAATGTAACTTCCTTCCAGGAACCTGAATTAAGAGGCTCGTAATTGTATTCAGATGATAATTGATGTTTAGCTACAAAATCATGTAGAGTTGGCAATGGAGTGGACTTTAGAGCAAGCCAAAGTTATAAATGGCTGTGGCTATAGGAAAGAAACAATCATTTGTAAGCAGTCTATAGAGTGCAAAATAGATGCAGAGGGCAAAACAAATACTCTAGAAGCAGGGGCAAATGCAGAATATTCTCCCAGTAAATCTTCATACTGCTTCTAATGTTTAATCCCAAGAAGTGCCTACTATATCTTTCAGTAATTCCCATTTTACTTGATATGATTTCAGTAGCTATTCTCAGCCACCCCTAGCCCGCCCTTACAGGAGAGTCTATGCTAAGCAGGGCTGCACGGCCCTGTGAGAGCAATACAGGACTGACCCCACTATTGAGCTCAAAGTAGACTTCACTGAAGAATACAGACTTCAAGCTTATCTACACTGAAACAGCTGACCGACCACCAAACAAAACACACCTCTTACTTTCGTTTGCATTGTTTCCCCACCGTGTAAATGCTGAGCTACCTTGCCCTTCAGCCGTTTTCAGTGGTTAGAGGACTATCTTATTTTCTCGGTTTTAGTTGCGGTTTGGACAGGAAATATTTACCCCAAATACTTGCGCACGGAACACTTGATCTTTCCGCGGAGGTGTTTGGAGGCGGGGCCTTTGGATGTGCTTGGATGGTGAGGGCTCTAACCACATGCACACCGGTCCATGGATGGTTTCATAGCTGCATGGGACATTCGGAGGTGGCGGCGCCTACCCAGGGGGAGCATGAGTCTCCCTCTGAAGAGCATGCTGTGTCTCTAGTCCACTCCCCCTGGCTCTCTGTCTCTTTTTCTGGCTGCCATGGAGTAAGACGCTCTGTTTGACTGAATCCTTCCGCCATGAAGTCGCACCGCCCCACGGGCCCAAGTGACTAAGACCTCTGAAAACGTAAGGACGATAGATCTTTCCTTCTTTACATTACCTTTCTTGAATGTTTTGTCACAGCAATGGAAAGCTGACTGCCACAGGTTTCTATGTTACGTCAGGCAGAGAGCTGCAGTTAAAACTTACAAACTCGTGCTGTTAAAAAAAAATCTATGGACTTATTTGGATTTTCATGCCTTCTTGGCTGGTCCTTTTGCCCTCCTTTTATGCCTCTCGGATGTAGAACCATGTTAGGACCACAGCAGCACTAAATGAGAATCACAACACTGGGTCTTAACTCCAGCTTGGCTGGTCCCGTTGTAGCCTCCCAGAATCTTGCTTCATCTCTTCAGTCTGTAGAGACAGCGTTGAAGGTCTTAGGCCTTCCTTCATCTCAAAAATATCATTACGGGAACTAATGAGATCATATTCATAAGAGGATTTGATTTCTTCGTCGTGGCAAAACATCAAAGAATGAAAATCCACCCAGCGATTGTTGCCATAATAATCATAGTAAACAATAGGACATCTAAAGAGAGAAGCAATTCCCCACTCTTTCTGTAATTGTGAGAGGCAAGAAGACAGTGAGGACATGGGAGTCAGCCTGGGTGTGAGTGGCGGGGCACCTGAGTGTCCTTTGAAGGTAGGTGGTGTCAGGGGCATCCTGGAGATTCCTCCTCTACTCTGTGGCCACACAGCCCCGTCACTGCCCTCCCGAGAAGTCGCCACAGAGAACAGCTCTGTCCTCAGGAATGCTTGCTTTCTTGTGTGTGTCTGGGGAGGGATGGGGTAGATGGTGACATTTGGTATCATGGCAGTACAGATCAGTGTGAACAATCGCGTGCTGTGCCTGGATCCTAGAGCAGAAGACAGAGGCTGTTGTCAGCACCAGGCCAGTATTAAATTTGAAATCGGCAGTGGAAGAAGGGCTGCATTTTTGCAGGTTCTGGATGGGCTGTGCTCATGTGAAGAAAGCATTCTGACTTACTGTGGCAGAGGTCTCAGGCCCTGCCGCATGAGTGCTAATGTTCTCCTTGAAAAGAAAAGCTGGGGCCGGAGGCAACCAACTATCATAAAAGTAATTAATTGTTCTACTTTTTAACGGCCTGGCAAGACTGCCTTTTTAAAAAAATGAATCACACAAACAGGACCATGATGCCAGACAGATTGTCCATTGGGACTTGAAAGACTAGTCCCTGCCATAAATCATGATAATGAGTTCATTTTTAAATTGGTTTATGAGGTTGAGAAGTGTGGTGTCACATTATTTTTTTCTTAAATCTCTCACTGCCTCGCATGCTTTTCAGAATTCAGAGGCTAACATTTCCTTTCAGAAACCCCTTCCAACTTGAGTGGCTGCTGTTTTACCAATCAGGTCTTTTTCCAAAGATGGTTTTAGCACATGATTTTCATGACTCAGCTTAAACCGAACAAGACCCCATTGTTGGCTTTGTTTGCACACCAGCATTATTGACAAGCTCTGCCTAACTCTTGGGAAAAGGTCTGTTGTCTGACCAAGCTACTATGGAAACCTGATCCAGGCCGCTGAGAAGCCTAGTGCCTGCCCTCTTGAATTTGTGAAGAATTTCGAGGCCAGTCAAACTCAGCTCAGAAAATATTCATCAGGGCAGAGGGCACAGCTTGTTCACACCATCTCACTTTTCATCTCAAATCAGCTGTGCAAACAGACTCACTGGCCTCGGGTGAAGCTGGCACTGCCCATGGGATATTGTAGACCACGGAGGTTTCATTTATTTTATTTCTACATTATTCTGACTAGACAGGGACAGGACATGGAAAAACAAGAGCTTGGCTTCTTTTTTAAATTTTTTAAAAGGAATTCTCCCCCTTGAAAACTGATTGATAAAAATACTGTAGCTAACTGTTCCACACCAGTAAATAGATCCTGCAGGTTTGAAAGAGGCTGGAAATCCAGTCTTTTTTCACTCTCCCATGAGACACCCCTCCCTTCTTTAGAAACCAACCTGAGGGGAGTATTTGTGGAAGATGAAGGCAGACTCTGTGCTTGGGAACCTCGTCTGCCATCTCTAGAGAGAAGTACAAAGAATGTTCTGCTCTTTGCCTCATGAAGGCCTCACTCCACTAGATTTTCTTAGGCATTTTCTTGCTCACTGTTGCCTGAACCTTTAAAGGATAGAGCATGCTTTGCTGCTCTCTGTATGTGTAAATCTCATCTCAGTAAAATAAGTATCACAAAATGTACCATGCATTCATCTTCACTGATGATGTCTTTCCTCCACTCCTTTGCTCTAGTTATGGAGTTATATAGTCATTAATGTTGATACAAAAAAGAAGAAGAAGAAGAAGAAGAAGAAGAAGAAGAAGAAGAAGAAGAAGAAGAAGAAGAAGAAGAAAGAGGGGTTTAACATTCTAGTATCATTTTGTCTTCCTCCAGTGGACAGAAGCTGGCCATTCCAAGACCAAGAGACAAATGAAGTTGGGTGGTTTAGACTTTCCCTGATTATTTTCTAGGGAAAGTGCACTTCTTCCCTTAATGCTGGATTTCATTATAGAGTCAAGAAAAAGGCACAGGGCTTCGGGGAGGTGATAAGATTCCCAAAGACCCAATGAGAGGCAGATTCTGGGGCTGGGGGAAGGTTACTGCATCATTTCATCTGCTCTAACAATAGACTCTAGAAGGATGAGGATGAAGCAGAGAGACCAGAGGGAAGTGACGTATTGTCCCAGGGTACAGAAGTCAGGGCCTCAGAGTGGGAGAGAAAGTGATGGGGAGAGTTCTGATAAAGGTGAAGCCAAAACACCTCCTTGACGGGTGGTGAGTGAGTGACGGAGTGAGTGAGTGAGTGCCTCTAGTTCCAGAAGTACTGTGCTAAACTTGAGCCTGAGAGAAAAATCTCATTGTCCAGTGACACAACCTACAAGCAGCAGGCTGCTCCATCCTGGTTGGCTCAACTTGGTCTGGACCCATGCTGGACTTCTGCCTGGGTCCGGCCTGCATCAGTCCTGAGCTGCAGGGACCATCTATTCCAGACTGATGTCTTTGGGGCTGTGTTCAAAAACAGCCAAACAGCCCCTGGATCCAACCCTGATTGGCAGTGTGTGGACCAGGGAAGTCCTAGCTACCCAGTGGCATTAAGGACGACACAAAGACATCATGTCATCTCAGGAGGACATTCAGTTAATACTGGAGACCAAGGTTTATTTGAGCATCCTCTTAAATAGCTTTCCAAAAGCAGGAGTACTGGCAGAAGACATCTGTTATCATGTATATAGGGCTGACTAGGAAACAGTCCCTTTATCCTAGAGATGGTCCTAGAACACATGTACAAAAAGGCTTCAGACATTCCATAACAGCAGTCTCATCAGTCCCCAGGCATGTCCCACTAGCCCTCATGATGGGTGAGGGGCCTAGGTCTATTGTTACACAAACTAGAAGTCATTCTCCACTGTGGCCAGGCCATCTGGAGGTAACCAGCCAACATCTGAAAGACAACAGGAGATCCGAGCTCCTGGAATTGAGCTGAGGCCTATATCTAAAATATCATATTTGGTGCTGAACAACTTCTGTCTTGTCCTCCCCATTTCTCTTGCTGACTACATTGTCCCAGACACCAGGGTGGTGCAGCAAATTTACCCAAGTTTCTCTTTACAACGTATCCATCCTGAAAGGAGACATACAGCAAATCCCAGGTGTTGTTGAACTGGGTGCGGAGCCTCAGATATTGGGACTCAGACTTTGGTTTATTCAGCCATGCTGGGATCTCTGTCTGGTGCCCCACAAAGGACTCAGTCCTGCCAACAATAGACTCCCAGATAAAAATTATCTTAGCTCCATTTTACAGATGAGGACACCAGGGCTCATGAAACTGTTGGAGACTACATATGAGTCAGGGATGGGTCAGGCCCATTCCTCTCTCTAAAATTGTTCTGTAAGAGTCCAGGGAATAACTGTTTAAGTTTCTGAGGGTCCTTGCAGACTTCATCACAATTAGTCTATGACTTCAATGAAACAGTCATTGCAAATACACAAGCAGACCAGCACAGCATTGCTCCAATATGGCTTTATCTGTGGACATTGAAATTTGAATTTCATGTAATTTTTCTTTTTGAGTCAGGGTTTCTCTGTGTTGCTCTGGCTGTCCTGGAACTACCTCTGTAGATCAGGCTGGCCTCAAACTCAGAGATCCACACGGTTCTGCTTTCCAACTGCTGGGATTAAAGGCGTGCACTAGCACCACCAGGCTCATGTAATTTCCATGTCATGAAATATTATTCTTTTGGTTTCTCTCCAACAATTTAAAAGTATAATCACCATTCTTAACTCAGACATTATTTAAAAAGCATGGACGGTGTACTCCTGTTTTTAGAATGATCTAAGAGTTTTCTGAAACAGTGTGTCAATAAGAGTGTGGTTCTCAGACTGTGGGATTTGGAGAAGAGGAAACAGAGGCCCACCGTGACCACTGGGTTGCCATGTTGGGCTTCCTTTTGGCTCTTTCTTCTCCTCTCACTGCTGCCTGGTGTCTGCAGAGTGCTGAGGGTAACCACATCCCAGGACCTTTCCAGGGTCCATTCTGACCTTCAGTGTGCTCATTTCAGGCCTCTTAGTAAAAAAAAAAAAGTCTCCATACCAGGTAGGAAACAAAGCCTGGGCTCAGAAGAACAAAAGAGGACATGGGTGGGGCTTGGGGCTCAGAGGAACAAAAGAGAACATGGGCTGGGGCAGTTCTGCGTCTTTCAGAAGCCATAGCTTCAGCATGAACAAAGTAATGTGTCTAGCCAATCTGCCTTGACTGTAGACATCTCAGCATCTTCCTCTTGCCAAGCTCACAAAGTCCTTTTCACTGAGAGAACTTACATGGCCTGTCAACACGTATTTTTCTAGACAGTTTATCATGAGTGCTCCTCTGCCAGTTGTGTTTCAGAACCTGCAACGCCTGCTGGATTAGAATGTACCCATGATGGTGAGGGTGAAGGGTGATCATGGTACTTCTGATTCCGAGCTAATTGCAAATCCTAAAACCACTGTGGATAACATGATTTTTTTCTTTCATCCTCTTGTGTATCATACATGAAGTGTTTAGTTGGTTTTTGCTTTTGGTCAAACCAACTGATTAAAATCATCAAATGAAGTGGCATAGCAAACCTCCTCTTGCTGGTGCAGCATCACTCAGAAGGTAAGTGAGCATCATTGGAGAATGAAGAAGATAATGTTTGGGAGATCCATGGTCTGATCCTTCTAGAAGTTGAGCTGCAAGTCAAGAGGCTTCTGGGGTGCACTCAGTATTATGTCTGCTTGCCATCCTAGGTTAGTACCCCAGAGAAGGCACCAGTTCACTGATGGAGAAGATAAAGTGTTAGGAGCTTATGATCCTGAGGATTCCCCGGTAAGTATGGTGGGATTTTGGTCAGCTGAAGGGGCAATGAAGCAGTGAACTCTGAGCTGGCACTGCTCTGTGACTTAGTGCACACCGGGGACAAGAGGAAACAAGGGCTCAAAGGAGAAGACAAAGCAATTCTGGAGTGCTGAGGCCGAGGTCCAGGTCTTCCCTGAAATGCCACTGGAGTTCTGGGAGCCCCCTCCAGTCTCGACTCCAGGAGGCTCTGCTACCAACATTCCAGTGCTCAATTTTTGTAGGAGCCTTTCTGTGAAGTCCTTTTATTTGAGCTCGCCTGCACTAGCATTCCTGCTAACCAGGGAACCACAACTAACACAAACATCAAATCACCTGTTCATTCACTCTAGAGACTCTGGTTTCTAACTGCTGGGAGCTGGTCATTGCTCCCACGCAGTTTCATCTGGAGAAGGGACCAAAGATGCTAAGCAGGAGAATCTATAAGCTCTTGGATGCTCGAGAATTTGGGGAAGGGTGAAGAAAATAGAATTTACCACTGTCAAGACTCTCCAGAGGATTTCACAGGAATGAGAGTCAATCTCATGTATACACGGGAGAAATATAAAAAGCACAGGGTTCAGAAAAGTAGCAGAACACTAGAGGGCCCGGACATGTTTTAAATTCTCATATAGGACAGGGCTGCATACATTCAGGGTTTCCACTGGACCATGCTTCATGGGTCTGAGTCAGCCAGGGAAGCTGTGTGGTGGACCTCAGGTGGTACCAGTAGGCCATGTAGCAGAGGCTGTAAGATCTTTCAGACTTTTATTCATTCAACAACATTTTTGGCCCCTACTGTGTGCCAAATAACTGGGAAGGTCCTGGAATGAGGAATGAGGACACGGATCTTCTCTCTTCAAAGACCCTAAATGTCACTCCAACATTCTTACACTGAAATAGTCTTCAGTGTGGGCTTTCTGTATTTAGGGAGTGAAACAAATGTGTTAGGAGAAATGAGGTTATTAAGTGATTTGCTTCTTTCCTGGGGCCAGTATATCACACAAGGAAGACACATAATGGCAAGGTTAAAATGGAACATCTTGGATGTTCCATTTTAACCTCTGCCTCTGCCTCTGTGGGGCAGTTCCCCCAAGTTGTCTGGAAGTGCATCTCTCTCTCCCGTGCCTGGAGGAGATCCAGATGAGGAATTTCCATAGCTTGTTTGGCAATGTTTTGTTCAATTCCAACACACTGAACTTCTGCAGCTCTACTTGAACATATAAAGGCTTTCCCTTTACCACCCACAATTGTATGCTACTACCAAAAATGTCACAGGTGACCCAATTCCTTCATTCAAATGTTATTTTTAGTAGATGTCAGGAAAGGAGGAGTATCATTCCGAAGCTGAGAACCAATCCCCTGTGTGAGCTTTTTTTCATCTGCACCACCCATGGAGGAAACGAGTGACACTTGGCCAGTCTCACACAAGAAGATGATGTCTGCCTGGGACCCAAAATAGTCAGGCTTCAGCCAAAGGATGTCTGTAGCTTTTCTCTCCCAAAGAAATCAAAACTGTCCCCAAATTAAGTTCTACAGTGCATAATAACTCTGCTAAGTAATGGACCCAAATGCAATTTATCATTTCCCGAGAGACAGAAATAACACTAATAACTATAATTTAGAGACAACTGCTCCTCAGATTTGCAATCAGTCAACAGACTGTGTTTGTTTCTGTGACTTCTGTGAAGTCTTAGCACTGACCTGTGATCCCTTACAGAAAACGCATGAAAATGAAATGTTACCAAATCTCACATTGTGTTCTTGTGATAGGCAGATTGTGATTGCCCTTGCCTCTGTCAGTCTGTTACTGGTTACTCTGTGAATGTGCATACAGATGTGTTTTTGTGTGTGTGCATGCAGACATGTATTTGTGTGTGTGTGTGTGTGTGAGAGAGAGACAGAGAGACAGAGACAGAGACAGAGACACAGACAGACAGGGATTTGGAGAACATAAGTTCTAACTGTCTCCTACTAGTGAATTTCCATTTATCTATTCTTTTGTTCGTACAAGTCGGGAAAGGCAAAAAGAAAGTTATCTCAATTTTCAGAAGCCCCTAATCTTGCTATCTTTTTGCCAGAGTTCTAAAGAACTCTTGAAGGTAACAAGGGAGCCGTGATTAAGGCTACTACTGATTTCTTTGGCTAGAATGGAGACTAATTTTAGGAGAATGAGCACAGGCTCATTCCTGTGTGTGCACTTGAAGTCAAACAGTGAAACCGGCCTCTGACAATTTCGTTGCTATAGCAGGATACTGGAGACTGGGTAAGTTATAGGATAAGGTTTGATTATTAGTTCTGAAGGCTGGGAAATTGAGTGCCTCATCCAGGAAGTGCCTTATGCAGTATCATGACACAGCAGGAGATGCAGTAGACAGAGAGAAGCCTCTGTGTAGATAGAGGGGAAGGCCCCAAGGTTCACTTCATAGCAAACCCTTCCAGGGGCCACCAATCCAGGATTAGGAGGTGAGAACTCACTCCCTCTAAAAAGGCCTTAGAGGCCCCATATTCCAATACCACTACAAGCATCAGTTTCAGTGAACCTTGACATGAATAAACAGTATCCTAGACACAGAAATAAGCAGCAATAAATGGTAGCTATTGTTACCAGCATGATTTGCTTCTGTGGATAATTGTAGTGCTCATCAAATGGCTGGAAACATTAAATGACGATCCAGGAAGTAAGTGTTAATGAAAATAACCCAGGGTCTAAATCATTCTAAAAGTGCCACCAGTGTTGGCTATGATAATACTGATAATGATGAAAGTGGCCAGAGAGACAAAGTAACTATCCCCAATTCACCAGGTGGACATGGGGTTTGTATTACAGTGAGCTAAGATCTGGTCATGAAGATGATCCCTGTGGAATCCTAATTTCTTTCACTTGACATCAGAAAACAACTTCCTCATATTTGAAAGCTTGTTTTGCCTTACCTTGAAGAATATGTGTTTTTGTGGAACCACATTTCCAATAGAAGTCTGTTTCTTGGTTGGGGGTATGGCTCAGTGATAGAGTGCTTTTCTTACGTATACAAAGCCCTGGGTTCAATCCCCAGCCCTGCAAAAACAGAAGACAAGTCTGTTTCCTGTACTCTCTTTATATCATGAATTCACCTTTGTTTTCCATTCTGAATAACTTGATTGGTCATGCTTCGTAGAGAAAAAGAGTTTACATATCTTGAAAGAACTGAGTACCACAGCAGTAGAGAGGATGCTGAGTACCACAGCAGTAGAGAGGATGCTGAGTACCAGACAGTAGGAAGGTACTGAGTACCACAGCAGTAGTGAGGATGCTGAGGACCACAGCAGTATTGAGGATGCTGAGTATCAGACAGTAGGAAGGTACTGAGTACCACAGCAGTAGGGAGGGTTCTGAGTACCACAGCAGTAGGGAGGATTCTGAGTACCACAGCAGTAGGGAGGATGCTGAGTATCACAGCAGTAGGGAGGATGCTGAGTACCACGGCAATAGTGAGGATTCTGAGTACCACAGCAATAATGAGGATGATGAGTACCACAGCAGTAGGGAGGATGATGAGTACCACAGCAGTAGTGAGGGTGATGAGTACCATAACAGTAGGGAGGATGCTGAGTACCACGGCAATAGTGAGGATTCTGAGTACCACAGCAATAATGAGGATGATGAGTACCACAGCAGTAGGGAGGGTTCTGAGTACCACGGCAGTAGTGAGGATGCTGAGTACCACAGCAGTAGTGAGGGTGATGAGTACCATAACAGTAGGGAGGATGATGAGTACCACGGCAGTAGTGAGGATGCTGAGTACCACAGCAGTAGGGAGGATGCTGAGTACCACGGCAGTAGTGAGGATGCTGAGTACCACAGCAGTAGTGAGGATGCTGAGTACCACAGCAGTAGGGAGGGTGATGAGTACCATAACAGTAGGGAGGATGATGAGTATCACAGCAATAGGAAGGTACTGAGTACCAGACACTAGGAGGGTACTGAGTACCCCAGCAGTAGAGAACATGCTGAGTACCATAGTTGAAGGTATAAAGCCAAGCTGAGTCCATGTTCAAAACTACAGAGTCCCACACCTCCCAGAACTCTAGGGCCTTTCCAAAACAACTAAAGTCTCAGGCTTTAAATCCACCAGATGTAAATCTGGGAATGTTAGGCCAACTCTTACATCTCCTGTCTAGATACAGTCTGCGGAAAATCCTTTGGAGACTTTGGAGAAAAGCCTGAAGTACTTTCAAAGAGCATTGACCCCGAGCTGTCACTCGGTGATCAGGTTTCCTATGAGTTCAAATCTAGATGAATTCGTTTTTTCAAGTTTAAATAAGAGAATGATAAAGCACGCCTGTCATCCTAGTCAGTTGTAGAGAAAGGCTATTGTTGTAGTCATGCTTCCTCGTCCCCGTGGTTTGAGATCGCTGAAGATGGGAAAATACATCCCAGAGTGACCTGAAGATTTCTCTCTGTGACAAAACTCATTCGGATTCTATCCAAATTCCTTATCATATTTACTTGTGCTAATTAATTGTTGCTCTGGATTCAAGATAACAAATATTTTTTTCAAAAGTGATTATACCTATAGCACCTGGGATTCACAGAGGACAATAACAGATCTCACAGTTGATGAGGCCTGCCATACAAGCCTCTGAGAAATCAGAGGAATCATTAAGCATATTTTTCATTTGGGGGGCATTCCTCAGCCAAACCTTCCTTTCATCTTTCACAACAGTCAAAGTTACACAAGGCATCACAAAGAACGGGAGAGGATAATGAGACCGGTTGAAGCAAAGCCAAGTCTGGGGCATTATGCAAAGATGTTTCTAACCATGATGGGATGTTAGTGGAGATGAAACCCGTCCCTCACATCTCACTAGCTGAACTTTCCCAGGATTGGGGTGGAGGGAGGAGGGGGCAAATCCAGCACTTGGTTTCAGCTTCAAGAGAAAAAGGTCATGGGTCACCCAGCACCCATGAGTGTGGTCCTTGCTCATTCTCTACTTCCCACACGATCCTCTGC